TACACAGAGAGGTCGTTCTCTGGAAGAGTGAGAGCAGAGTGCCTCACCTCTGTAGCGGACTTTCATGGCCACACGCGAGGACACTCTCACGCAAATCAAACCAGGCGCACAAAGACACACAGCGTGGGTAAAGTCCCGCGGATGCTTTTCTCCGTAACGACGCCAAGCGCGGCTGCGGATTCGGCACATCATAGCCTTTGCTGAAATGTAAATTAGATCAAATGAATCTCTAACTTGGCCGGTTTCTGAAAAAAATGTCACTATCCTTCAAGAAACGTGTCGAGTCTTCCAACTCGGCGCTGAGACTGATTACTCGAATTTGAAAACTCGATATGCTCACAGGATTTGCAATGAAGCCACACCATCCTACCATCGTTCGTAGTCACCGGAGAAATCACAAGTCCAGAACTAATCAATTTTCCATTAGCAGGAGGCCGATCTGCCGGCTGAATTTCACATGCTTGGAATACTTTGCTAAGCTTGACGATGAGGAAGTTGAGAGAAGATTTTCATGCATTTCATGTGACAGAACAAGGATGAGACGTGACCCAAATGGCCGAGGTCCACTGAGTAATGCGACAGTGAAATGCCCAGAGGCTAAAGGGGAGCACATTTAAACTGGTGTGGAAGGCTTGGCCAAGGCTTTGGAGGATGGAAGCACAGGTTCCATCTGGTGTGTGAAGGCTGAGCGTCAAACTCATCAAACCAAAATGTCTTTCACATGCAAAGACAGGTCAAATATTACATTGTGCAAAAAAAAAAAAAAAAAAAAAAAAAAAAGAGCCTTGCCTTGAGGCTCAACCGTAGTCTGATCTGATAAATAAAATGAGGTTTGCTCACTGTTCCTCTAGAGAAGCTTTCTAGCAACCGGAAAATTGTTGGTTTCGGGGCCCCAAGGTCACGTGAAAGTGTTCTCCTGCATGAGGTCGAAGTCCCTTCATCCAGGTTGCAAATGATTCAATGACTTCCAAGGCAGCATCGTTCACCATCAGTGCTTACATGAAGGGGCTTTGGAAAATGCCTTTGGAGTGTCTCAAGGTTGGAAGACGCTGTCGTGATGTGTATTGATTTGATCAATCTGCTTGTGTTTTGCTCCTTGGTTTCTTTGTCTTTGTCAGTTCATTGTTGTTTCTTCCTGTCACTCGTCATGTACCTTTTTTCATTTTATGGTTGGTTACTTTACATCTTGTCTTGGGTTGATTTGTGTGAGTCGTGTATTTTTGGTCATTTGTTTTGACTTTTTGTTCTTTTGAAAATCTTTTTTTTTTTTTTTTTTTAGATGACTCCTGCAACCCAGTCTTGCCTCCCTGCTTCCCAACGCAAATACCATCAAAACCAGATACCAAATGCTGTTTTCATTTTAGAGGTTTCTGAATGGCGAGATAGAATAGGATGAGGAAAGAAATTCACGGTCCTGTGGGTATCACCACTGCCTCATCAAAGGAAATACTATATTTTCCGCATTATAAGGCGTTTCGGAGTATAAGGCGCACCTTCAATGAATGGCCTATTTTCAAACTGTTTTCATATATAGGGTGCACCGCATTATAAGGCACATAGAAGGCAAAATAGTGGTTGCGGTTACGCTATGCATCCCCTAGATGGAGCTATGCTAAAGGCAATACAATCCAATACAGCTTTATTTATATCGAGCCTTCACAATCGCCGCCGCTGTAAAAAAGGGCTTTACAGAACAATTTAAAATACTACGTCCAAAGAATTCGAATATTGATCCAAATATAAGGCACATCGGATTTTAAGGCGCACTGTCGGCTCTTCAGAAAATTGAATGCTTTTAAGGTGCACCTTATAGTGCGGAAAATATGGTCACTGAATGAAATTGTCTGCTCGGCTGGTTCTTGCATAAAATTGATACGTTGTGTACGTACTTTTCTTTAAGCCGAGTGAAAACAATCACCGTCGTAAAACCGTGAACCCGACGGGTATTGTAAATGTTGATTCACATTTTGACATGCTGTCATACAAGTAGAAAGAGAGGTCAACCACATGTTAAAACAAGTGAAGTCATTTAAAAGTATTTGAAGTCTTTGAAGATGGCTGGCATGATGAAGAGGGAACAGGAAGGTGATGGCATGACAAAACTTTCACCAAATATTGTTGCAATTGCTTTTTGTCGGCAGCTTTGCGGTTGATTTGTTGATATCGACATTATTGTATTGTGTTGATCTCAACATTTTATACTCAACAATTGTTGTGAACTGTGTAATTGTGAGTTGTTGGCAAGCTTATTAGCTTTCTGTGGTAATAAACAAAAAGATACACGACTGGGCTTAATCCAGATTCGAATTGATTTGATGACTAGCGTAATGTCACTTTCGAGGCGCATTGTTCCAAAACAACCCCAGATTGTTTCCTTATTGAGGCAATTAGGAAGTTCCACTGTACTCGATCACGTTATCCCGGCTTGTGACAATATCGAGCGCACACGGGCAAGAGGAAGTGGTATAAAATTGCATTCACCTTTTTCATTCCTTTGGCCAAGCTCAACTGATTTTACTGCAGCCGGCCGGATTCCAAATCAGCCGGGGGTCACGATGTAATGCCTCCCCGCTGATCCTCTCTCTTTTGACCATCCTGTGGAGCCACAAAATAATCCTCTCTTGTCATTCGGCTCCGTCCCTGAACCCCGAAGATGAAGCTCTTGTCCTCCCTGAACTCTGACAGACAATCTGAGTGTCTTCGCCCGGGACGTAATTTAGCTGCCTTTATGTATATTTTGGCGCCATTCGTCAACTCCGGCCTTGCGGGTCCTCTCTTTCACTCGGGCGTAACTGCTCATATTCACGCTGATTTACTTAACTGTCTTCAAAGACAGACTCATTACAGTAGATTGCAACCCCCCCCCCCCCCGCCACCACCACCTTCACGCGTCAATTAGTGTCACCGTGCAGGAAGCTAAAGGAGTCAAGCAGGTTATTTACTCATAGGCGCTTGTGTTTAGCGTTGACCTTCAACCAAAAAATGCAGACGGCGACCCTGTCATTGAACTCCTAATGGGCGGCAGCCACGAAGAAGCACTAATGTTGGGTGAGCGCAACTATTAAATGTGGGGAAACATCCATGCTAACAACATTGATGATGAAGGCCTTTACTCCATCACCTTCTCGATACTCTGCGTCGTCACTCTCGTTATTCATAGATTATAGTTTGTAAGTCCTTTTATTTTTTCTTATTGCTCTTGATCTTTGGCTTCGCGTGATTGGCTTCTTGACATTTTGTTGGTTTATTCTCGGTGTTCTCTAGTACCTTGCCTTGTGCCTTTTGTTTATGCATTGTTTCCCCTGGCTCCTTGTGAGCAGCGATTTTCTGTTTGTACTTTGTCACTGCGCTTTTCTGTAAATAAATATTTTTGTTATCGCACTTTGTCTGAGCCTGCATTTCTGGAATCCAAAAACATTATTCGGTTCGGTCCAGAACCTGACAACAGCTCTGCAGCATTCACCCCTATAGACAGACACACACACACACACACACACACACACACACACACACACACACACACACACACACACACACACACACACACACACACACAGGACAGGATAAGCAGTCAGAGGCAATTGAAAATAGAGGAAGCAGGGTCATCCAGTAAAAACATGTACAAGGGGATATTGGACAATGGAGAGAATCTCCCGTTTAAGACTGTGTGATTTAATAATGTTTATGAAGCCTCATTCACACTTCCGATCGAGCACATTTGTACACTTACTGAACTGAGCTGAAGTATGTTTCTAGTGTATTTCAGAAAAAGCCTCCCGAATTGGGGAATTGACAGGAAATGCAAAAGACTGCAACTCGGTCAAAGCTATACCTGCTTCATCTTGGTGGGAGTTTTTTTTTAAGCTTTCGGCAGCACAAAATTCCAGGGAAGTGGATTTAAAAGGCGAGACAAGGATTTGAAAGAGGTCTACTGTGAGGAGAAATTCATTGGAAAAATCGATGATCAGAAACTCCATTACAGTTAGTGATCACAATCATTGTAAACACAGCGGCTGTGATAAAAAAAACAATCTCCAATTGTTTTGAGGCACAGCTGGTAAGAATTTAAAAAGCGTGTACATATTTCACTGAACCCGACAGCTGACTGTTTGATCCTATTGATAATTAGGGGGACGATTTGGGAAGGGTGGGTGGGTCCACTCATATGCACTATTCACAGAACATTCAACTCACACTCTCCTGAGATTTATGTGAAAGTGAAAAGACCAGGGATGATACACGTTAATTATGATTTGCGTGTGTGTACGTGCATCTCATGTCAAATGAAAAATGCAATATTGGGATATATCTGGTTATGAAATTATATATAACATAATTTCCATATTTGTATTATTTCCTTCCTTCACCCAATGACAGTCAATAAAATAAATGATAAGAAATCAGATCAATGAGCCACATCGATAATGGAATCTCAATGAATTCAGTAAATTCTTGGCGATTGGCTGAACACCAGTCCAAGGTGTACCCCCGCCCCCCCGTCCCCACCTGTCTCCAAATGGGCCGTGAGCACACGATCTGCACGGAGCGACATATTATTGCGTTAGTTTAGGTTTGTGAAAGACTGGTCCCATTGCAAAAGGATCAGTTGATGCATTCGTCTCCATTTATTGAATTATGGCGCCATCTGCTTTTCACCAATGTGCGTAGTATATCGAATGCTTTTTTTTTTCCACCTGTACAATCATCACTCAGAGAACGTTTTGGCAGTCCGGCGGAAAATGTCCAAACAGCAAAAACCAATGTTTCCTACTTTCAAAATAAAGTGTATTGAAACTATTAGAAAAAACGGAATTAGATTGTATTTAATTTACTACATATTGTATTAGTAATAGTCTTACGTATTCGAAAATGTGACTGTAAAAACAAAAACAAAAATTTGCATTGAATTCATTTGGATAGATGGGTGCATGATTCGTCAGCGGTTTCGTCGGTTTTCACGGAGTTTCGATTTTTTTATTCCGAAAGACGCGTAGCGGAAATGGAATTTTGACTCACGCCTTTCCATTTGCAGGAACTTTCCCTGATTCCTTCACAACAAAATGGACTGGAGCAAAGGTGGTGATGTACGTCTGTTTTTCTATTAGAATGCGAATCACCTTTCACTTGCTTTACAGACTCACTGTTTTGACACGTTTTAAATAATTGTCAGTTTGCTCGCATTGACGTAGCTCGTCTGTCAGCAAGTTGCTCGAATGCGGAATAACCTGTCCTTCCCTTCGTTCAACTGTCAGACTGTTAGCTTCAGCTCGCTAGCCTCGTGCTAGTGGTAAACAGTGTGTTTGCGAGCCAGCTGATAATTCTCCCTTTTGTGGTCGGATGTGCATCATTGCTTCTTTTGCCACCCGGTTTACAGGTTGGATACACGGGTTTGGTTGGGGTATTAGAGGGGACTGGCAGTGGAAAGCGTGCAATCGGTACAGGAGGCGTCTTCCTCATACTCATCGATCTGATAGTGCACTACAAGTGTTTCCTGCAAGTGTGTCTTGTCAAAGCCACATGTCACATTCTTGCACAGTGTCAGTGGCATATGTTATATTGAAAACAAGCTCATTATCACATTTTTTTGAAATGTGGTTATAGTTAACTCGGCAATGATCATTTTTTTTCAGTAAAAAAAAAAAAACAAACTTGTGTATTGGACAAATATATTTATTCTATTCCCAACACTAAATGAACTACCTGGTTATTTCATCCGAGGAATTCAGTTTATTTATTTTGTAATTAACGTGTTTTAGAAAAAGAAAAAAAAACAACAATATTAATGCAACTCATATTATAGAACTCTTGATAATGTAACTGTTGAGTGGACAGATAAATAAAGTGGCCCACTTTGCCCGCCTTTGAGTCATCTGTTTTGTTCAGGGCATCAAGTTACAACACCTACCCCAACTGTACGGTTGACCTTGGGGCAAAGTCGTTTGGAAATAACGTCTTTCTTTGGTTCTTGCGAGAAAGCAGATTGCATAACAATTGTCCCATCTCGTTTGTGTTTGGATTGTTGCAGAATCACAGTCACGCACATGAGAACTGTCACCATGGACATTCAGGTCATTCTCACAGTCATGGGCCGAGAGCGGCGGCGTTTGGCGGGGTGGGACTCCCGTTCGTGCCCTCTTTTCATGGACAGTTTGGCAAGAATGCAGAAGAAGCATTGGACCTCACTCTACAGCCAAAGAAACGGTCACACCTGGACGACAGCAGCAGCTGGGACATCGTGAAGGCATCACAGTAAGACTTTGGATTCAATCATTTTTAGCTTGTGTATATTTTGTTTTAGTTTCAATTTTAAACCATATGCGGTCATGAGAATTAACACTGAATACATGCAGGAAACACCCACACACACATTTTCTTCCACCACCCCTTCGGTTCAGTTGTTAGGAGTAGTGCAGTAAATTGTAACGATGAGATTTTTATTTCAGGGCTTGGTCTAATTAACATTGTTAAATATTTAAAGGCACAGAAAAAAAGTCAACTCTTGCACTCAAGCTAAATGGCTGCCTCTCGTTGGAATCAGGAAGTATGAGAGAAGTACTCTGCTAAACCACACCTTTCTTTGTGCTAATCCAACTGACCACTCCCGTTTCTCCCTGTAGCATAAAATGTTTTGATGGGGAGGTGTCATTTTCTGTCGTTTGTCAATTTCACAGCAAATAGTAAATATGGCACAGAAGCTTAGTTTGAAGAACATATGTGTTTACTTTACGTAAAATATACATGTTCATTGTACATAAAATCTAAGGCCGTATGTACTGATTTTTAGATCAGTTAAAAGCCAAAGACTTTGCATATGTTGCCAACTCGTTCCCTGTGAAGTAATACAGAAGGAGACCGGCTCCCTACTGTTGTGTGTTTACGTTCCGGAGAGCGAGTGGCGATTTTAAATTTTTTTGGGCATGCTGTTGATGACTACTCTGTGTACTTTACGCAGGTTTGGCATCTTGGATCGCTGTAAAGAGTTGGTGGAAGCCGGATATGACGTCAGGCAGCTGGACAAAGAGAACGTGTCGCTTTTGCACTGGGCGGCCATCAACAATCGCTTGGAGTTGGTCAAGTATGAAGATGTCCAATCAACCTTTTTTTTGGGGGGGGGGCAAGGGAGTGGGGGGACTACTCCTTTGAGCTGGCATGTTGTTTATAAGGCGTTCATCACAAGTACAAAATCATTGGGCACATTAACATATAGCTTGTAGCAGCCGGAGTTTAAACATGTTTTTTTTTTTTTTTTTTTTGTAGGTATTACATTTCCAAAGGGGCAATAGTTGACCAGCTTGGAGGAGACTTGAACTCCACACCTCTTCATTGGGCCATAAGGTGACATCATCACTCCAATCTATTACTGTTGATCAGTATTAGCTAATACGCTAATAGTAGCATGCTGTCCAGTATGGAGACCTCTCAGTCTTTCTTCACTAAAGCCCAGTTTGTGTTTGGATGACCAGGCAGGGCCACCTGCCCATGGTCATTCAGCTGATAAGGTACGGAGCCGATCCCTCCATTGCAGACGGGGAAGGGTATCGCGCTCTTCACCTCGCCATCCTCTTCCAGCACATGGCCATCGCGGCTTACCTTATGGCCAAGGGACAGGTCGGCGCACCGATATGCTGGAGATGTCATACTTGGCTCAACTGCACCCTTTTATTTTCCTCTCATGTTTTGACTTTTGTCGTTCGCCTTCCAGGAAGTCGACAGCCCTGACTGCAATGGACAGACGCCTCTGATGCTAGCGGCCCAGAAGATTATCGGGTACGCTCTTTGATTTCTGTAGTTTCTGCACACATGCCCTGCAATTGGCTGACGGCCAATCCTGCTGAGACGAGGAGTTGGAAAAATCAAGCACTCTTGCTTTTGTATCGCAGGCATGAGCCCACTAACTTCTTAATCAAAAACAACGCGTCAGTGAGCGCCGTGGACAAAGTGAACCGGAACACTCCGCTTCACTGTGCCGTGCTGGCGGGCAACATCGACGCCGCGTACGTCCTGCTGGAAGCCGGAGCCAGCTTGGATCTGGAGAACATCAACGTGAGCCTCACGCAGACGTCACCTACTGTACAGTAAATCCTCTCTGATGGCGGAGGTTCGAGACTAAGCCTCGATGAGAACAGCAAAAATTAGTAAATCAAGGAGAAAAAAATGATACACTATAGTAAAATGAACAAACTCATCTTCCCCCTTGCGCCTTGCTGACCTTTGTCTGCATCATCTTGAGAAGCTTAATGTGTTTCAAAGCTCAATGTCGGTTTGACCGAACGGTTCCTCTTGTAACTGCTCTCAGGGCCACACACCTGTCGAGCTGGCCCACCAGGTTCACAGCCCCCTGCTCATCCACGTGCTCAACCAAGTCCAACGGGAGAGGATCCGTGCCAACTCGCGCTGTTTACGAATCGTCACCAAATACAAAGTAGGCAGACGCTTATAAAAAAAGAAACAAACACGTTTTCAAAACAACCTCCTGACGTGATGGCTTTCTCATGTCTTTCCAGGTGTTTCTTCAGTTTGTGCTCTCCGCTGCCATGTTTGGCTGCCTGGCTGCCATTTTGGATATGAATTCCGACTCCTGGTTGCTCAAAGGGGTTCTGATAGTTTGCGTGGTTGGTGCAGTCAGTTTGGCCACAAGGTTCGGACTTATTTGCTGCTGTAAAATATTTGGCGTGCCCGTAAAGTCTCTCGGCAATTTGACAACTAGAACAAATGAATAGAGAAATATGCGAGTCGATAACAGAGAAATATGCGAGTCGATATTCATTTTTGGGTCTTATTTATTCCGTCTTTATATGGGCACTAGGAGTCACATGAACCGCATAACCTATTTTGCCCCCAGTGATTGTGTTACAGTGCAGTGCAGTGCCCCTAGTGGCGGAATTAGTTAGAATCACCCAAAAAGTCAGAGGGGTAGCCATTTTGATTCATAACAGTGGAGAGTTGTGATCTCATTCACTTCTATCCTCTTTATTTTGACACATTCAGTCACAATCTTTTTACTCTTCTGCCCTAACCATGCGTTTGACATGAGAGCATGGCGTAGACAGCGAGCTCAACAGACTTCCATGAAAATGCCACACGTTTTTCTTTACATGTCCAAATTGGGGCAAAGGATGTGCCGTACTTTTTGTATCCGATGTCTTCAACAGGATACGTGAAATCCACAAATGTAATGTGATGTCTCACCAGGAATTTCCCCGTTGCGGTGTTTCAGTCAACTGTACCAGCGACAGCTCTCATGGCCTCCATCTTCTGGATGCTTGTCACTTGGTGCCTCTGGTTCCTACCAGATATCCTTTGGCCGATGGAGCCTTCGCAGATGCCTCTGAATTTATGACGGCTTCGCCGTATGTCGAGAGTTAGCGTAGCAGCCTTCAAATCGAAATGGGATTTTCATTCATATCCCGCGTACCAGCCGCTACGCTCTTGATTGTCGCCCCAGTTGTGCGATGGAGATTTTAGCCTTCGGGGCTGATTGAGTGTTTTCTTAACATCAGCGCCCACATGGCCACAGCGCCACAGTCCAGGTTCTTTTCACGCTCAACGCCACTGCCCTGCTCTACTACTACCTCCGTGCCTGTAGGACTGACCCTGGTTTTGTGAAGTCAACTGAAGAGGAGAAGAAAATGGTCAGTCTCTTTATTATTTTTTTATTTTTTGGATGATGTTATCGTCAGATAAATATGTTCGGAACTACAATGTTGTTTTTCTTTGCCTCTATAGAATGTGTTGCTGTTGGCTGAGGCCGGCTGTCTCGAGCCGAGCATATTCTGCACTTCCTGCATGGTCAGATTTCCAACAAAGGAGCTCGATCGCAGAAGCGGTGTGTCGCGGCGACGGCCCGTAACCGTTGTCAATGCTTTGAATCTCTTGTCAGATTAAAAAACCAGTTCGAGCCAGCCACTGCCCGAGATGTGACGCGTGTGTAGCCAAGCAGGACCATCACTCCGTCTGGACCAACAGCTGCATCGGTACTGCACACTCCTGCATAATGTCAGTTAGAGAAGAAGTCTGTCATCGAAATGTCGTGGCCTTTGTTCTCTTGGAGTGCACTCGGGTTAAATTCCCTTGGACTAAAACATTTTGCTTTGTCGCAGGCGCCAGGAACCATCTTTACTTTGTCCTCTTCCTGCTCTCGCTCTCGCTCATGGGCATCTGGATGTTCCACGGTTGTGTCGTGTGTGAGTCATGGCACCACACAGTCACACTGTCACACTGAAACCATCTTGTTTCCACTAAGCAAATACGGTTCACTTTTTCTGCCCCTGTTGCCAAATTTGGCACCACATTTACTGCTCTTTTTTTGCAAACTTTGTGTAGCAACCACAAAAAAAGCAAAACAAAAAACAAACAGTAAATCTAACACTCAATCTAAATAATCGGCAATGGGGCCGAATCAATTTAGACCAACTAATTGCTTTGTAAATTAATATTTGCAGGGTTTTTTTTTTTCGTGTATTATTGTGTACTCTTGTGTTGTCACTGCCTGTTGACGCTCGTAGAAGCAACGGTTTACAGATGCTTTGATCGTAGAAAAAAATACAATGGAAGTGCATGAGTACTGCACATGCAACAATGACGCACAGCTTCTTCCACGAACAACCCAGACGAATACTGTCGTTCCTCCCCGACATAAAAAGCCTGTCGCCAGGTCATATCGCTTCAACATCCACCTCCAACTCCGATTTACTACTCTGCTGTTCGGTAGGGCCTCGGCACCACCTTGTGGCCACACAGAATTGCTGCAAGTCTTAAAACAACAGTTTTGCTCGTCACTCACTTCATTTGAGGAGCAACCTTGTAATTTGGAGTCAGAGTAGCAACGACTGAGCTTGCCTCAATCTCCCCAACTGGCTGTGCGTAGGCAATGTAAACGCCATTATGTACGTACAGCCAGCCCGGTGAAGCTTTACTGGACCATCCCCTGCCGCTCAATAATCAGAAAACTGAAAAATTTGTGATTCTCAGTTTTGCAATTCATTTTGTTTGGAAGAGGCCAAAGAAAACGTACATTTTGACATCTCGAGCCTTGTTACTGACTTATGAGCCTTTTGTCGCTTTTGTTTCCAGACTGGTCGACACATTGCCTGCCACGCCATGAGGAGCGAGGTCTGGTGGCAGTGGCCTTTGCCGTGGTCGATTGCTCGCCGTGGTTGCTGTGCGTCTTCTTGTTGGCTTTGTACCACACCTGCTGGTCCAGCTTCATCCTGCTCCTGCAGCTCTACCAGGTGAGCCGCTCGTCAGCGCGCCGAACGTGTCGTCGCAGAAATCCGTCCCATCTCATTTGACGTCCGCGCATCCCAGATCGCTTTCCTCGGACTGACCACTGCCGAGAGGATGAGCCTAATGATGCACGCAAGAAAACTCAGACAATCCTTGTCCTTGTCCCAAAATCCATACAAGTGAGTTGTCACGATTCTTTTTTTTTTTTGGACCCCATGTTGCTCTTGGTTTTGTGTCCACGAATAAACGCCGTACTACTCTCCGTAGTTTGGGTGTCATGAGGAATCTGGCGTCCTTCTTCCACCTGCGCTGCTGCGGCCTCTGCAAACCGGCCATCATTGATTGGACGCAGCAGTTTCCGCCAGGCCAAGACCAGCGCTTGTTTCGACACACGGACATGGTGTAATGCTCAGGGGAGACCTTAGCAGTGGCTTTGAACCAAAAAAAAGCACAGTGTAATTATTTATTTTTCTAATTCATCGAAAGGCTCGTCGTGAAGTGAAATCACTCCAGTGTGGATAAAATGCAATATGTTGCAAATGTTTGCTTTTTTTTTTTTTTTTGGTTGTTTTGTATAGCCTGCTGCTGCCTTTTTGACCTGTGGAAGTCAAACAAATCACTTGCAAATGTATTGCAGAATTGTAAAAAAAAAAAAAAAAAAATGTTGACATTTGAGTTTCACACATCTCAAGCTTATTTTTTAAACGTGCTCTCGGAAAGGGAAAGCTCTTTCTACCTGCTAAGTCTGTTTTATAAGACTCGCATGTGTTTCATAATAAAAGACCACTATGATACTTCAATAAAGCAACTTGTGAATTCTTTGTCAGGTGTGAGCTCTCTGTGTGGAATTCCACTGTTCTGAAAGTTTGCTATGTGTTTGTATGTATGTGTGCCCAATTTAAATGGCATCCTTTCCTCTTTCCTAAATCTAAACCACTGCAATCCTCCACAAAGAAAGACTTTTTGCCCATAGCTGGGATCAGCTCCAGGTCACCCACGACCTCAGAAAATCGAAAGATGGAAATGTTGGTACCAATATGGTTTATTAGAAACATAAACGAGAGCAAAGGTAGAGTCTCCGTTGCTATAGTTTTGGTGAAACAACGTTCATTTAAGGCACGGCCATCCTTCCTGACTTCCGGTGTTCACGCTCATTCGGCCAACATGGCGGCATTGCCCAGTCCAAATCCTTTTGGCCCAAAGTTTTTGGCATAGCAAACTGGGGAGAAAAAACAAAAGTTAAAAGTTATATTCCGACCTCTTTTAGAGTGAAGCCTTTTGAACCTTTCTACCTTTACAGTAGATCTCTCCATCCTTGTCGGTCACTGTGGTCGACTCCAAACTTTTACCACACTTAGCACAGCGGAAGCACGTTTTATGCCAAGGCTGCCGACACAGACAAGTTATTAAGAAACAGTACATAGCCGATAAATTCATGACTTATTAATTTTGGAGTAGAAAATACAGAGCGATGGCAGTTGTCCCAGAAGTCATTCAAATCAATGTGTATAACTTTGCTTGCAAAAAACTTCATCAAATGAGACTCAAGTGCTGATAAGTGAGTGGATCAAGTCAGAGAGATATGACAGTATATGTTGGAAACAGCTGCACTCCCCCTTACCTTTCCTCCTCCCATCACCTTCTCTGCTGCGTAGACAGATTTGGAGCAGCGAGAGCATTGGTCGGAGCTTCCGAACTTCTGGGAAACCTTGCTGGAGGTGGTGTTTGTGGAAGTTTGCCGTGGTTTAGGGCTAGAAAAGAGGAAATGTGGCTCTTTTTCTTTCTTTCTTTTTTTTAAAGCTTTGTTGTGTTTGATTTTTATTGGATTTACTATAATGTGATCATACTCATTGCTGGGTTGCAGGTGGCCGCGGTGTCCAACAGGGTCCGAGCTCAGAGCTCCAGCCCCTTGGCCGTATCCATAGCCTTTTGGCCCATATTTCTTGCCGTAGCAAGATTTACAGTAGATTTCAGATTCGTGCGCGGCGACCGTGTGGCTGTCCAGTCCTTTCTTGCAGGTCACTGTGCAAAGCAAACAGAAACGTCAGCTATATATGTCCAAATTCAGAGGCTTACGTCCTCCGAAGGCCGCATTTTTCATCGGTGACGTCACTTCCGGCGCAAGTGGACCACACGCGATTTCTCGAATAAACAATTCTCGAAAGACGATTGACGACGCATGAACGAAACTGAAAATGCTATTGCGATCGGCTTAGATAAGTATCGATCCGATATCGGTACTGATTTGGTCTTGAAACGACTCGCCCACCACTGTAAGGACAGAAGTAGTATCGTGGTAAAATGAAGAATTCAAATTCAGGAAGAAATTAACAATGAAAGAATATTGCGTATTGGGCTCATTTGCTTTCTTCGGGCTGTGTGACGGATTCTGACTGTGGTGTCAAATTGGGGTGACGGTTAAACAAAAGCCAGCACCGAGCAAGTTTTATCAGTCAGCAGAGCCATTACGCATACTTCGATGTGTCGCATTTCTATTCATAGCGAGAAATGCGTGTGCGAACTGAAGCTTGGAGAAAAGAGACGAACACTGAGCAGAGGGACGGGCGGGCTTATCTCGGAGGCCTTTCAGACATCCCAGAGGAACAAACTAAGTCATCGCACCGTCTGTGGCCGCAACTGAATCTCGGGCAGACAAACAACCGCGGTCAAGTCGATGAAGACTGAACAGCTGCAGATGGGAACGGGACCTCCAAATACGGCGGCGTCATGACATCGGACCACTTCCATTTCACTCTGTCTTCCTTTTCTTTCATGCTCATTTGGTTTGATGGACATCTTTGCTGTGATTGGCTGTGCTCGTTTTTTTTTTTTTTTTGCCCGGTAATATGTCAAGTCCTAAAATGGCAGAAGCCATAATAATAATAATAATAATAATAATAATAAAAATAATATAGAGATATTTATGAATTAAGGTTTAGCTTCAGCAAGGAGGTGGATGTTTTTTTTTTTTTTTGTCCGGTAATATGTCAAGTCCTAAAATGGCAGAAGCCATAATAATAATAATAAAAATAATATAGAGATATTTATGAATTAAGGTTTAGCTTCAGCAAGGAGGTGGATGTTTTTTTTTTTTTTTGTCCGGTAATATGTCAAGTCCTAAAATGGCAGAAGCCATAATAATAATAATAAAAATAATATAGAGATATTTATGAATTAAGGTTTAGCTTCAGCAAGGAGGTGGATGTTTTTTTTTTTTTTTGTCCGGTAATATGTCAAGTCCTAAAATGGCAGAAGCCATAATAATAATAATAATAATAATAATAAAAATAATATAGAGATATTTATGAATTAAGGTTTAGCTTCAGCAAGGAGGTGGATGTTTTTTTTCCCTGAAATGTCATCGTTATAAATGACCAAAAATGAAAATATCTCAAACACCTGATGTGATGGAAAAAAGTAAACTTTCTTTTTTTTAATCAGTGTCAAAAAATACATTCTGAACTTTTGGTTAAAATATGTTTAATTTTTAATATGTACACATTTTTTTAAATCTTTGAATTTTCCTCTGTATGATGGCTGAAATCCATTTTTATCTTCTTGCTCTGGAATTTAAAACAACATTCTGTCCATGACTTTACAAATCTGAAAATGTGTTCAATAAACATATGCTTAAGGACATCGCAACAAAGTTAAGAGTTGGAGATTGTGATTTTTAAACTTTTGACGCCAATGTATATGCTTTTACTGAAAATAAGATTTGGGTTACGCCCTCTCGAATACACTCGTTTTCTTTCCTGGTCTCTGAAGTTTTTTTTTGTTCTCTTATTTTTCATATTTCCTTCTGTCATTAATATATCCTTGACATTCAGACAATAAAGTGAGTGAGTGAGAGGAAAGACAAAGTGTTCCTACTGCATATGAAGCAGGTTTTATGGAAGCTCCTCCCATTACACTGGATCTCCTCTGCATGATAGACAGTCTTCTCACAGGCTGCACACTTTGCACCGCCTCCCCAGTTTGGCATCTAAGTTTAAAAAACACACATGCAGAAACATGATCAATGTCATTGGACTGTTTTGGATTGCCGGGGGTTGAAATGTGATTCAAGCCGAAATGGGACTCTGTGAACGTACGTGTAAACAGCATGATCAAAAAGTGGTATTAGGGGGGAAAAAAAAGTCTGTCGGCTGTTTTGAGAAAACAAGAATTTGGTGTGTGGCTGGCAAGTCAGCCTTGGCTCAGAATCCAATTCTGAATGTGTTTGATGGGCTTGAGGTCAGGGCTCTAGTCCAACCGGGATTTTATGAACCTTTTAGGATTTGTGACAACCCTGACGCTGGACCAGAAAAGGGCCTTGCGCAAAACTGTTCGCACAAAGTTAGAAGCATACAAAAGGTCAATCGGGGCTTCCTTGCGCCCCAGACTTTTACTTATTCAGAAGTACCGATACATACCAATTCTATCACCAATCACAATATTTTTGAACAGCTTTAAATCCAATAATACAGGGGTGTCAGAATCATTTTTGTCACAGGCCACATTGTCGTTACGGTTTCCTTTGGAGGACCGTTATAAATTTTGGGAAACCGTTAAAATGTTGAATCCCCTCCCCATATTACTTACACAGCACACAACAAATTGATGAATAACTAGTTTTCAAATCAGAAGTCAAGAATAATGACTGTTATTGCGGATTACATTTGACAATTTGAAATTTGGGTCAAGCATCATAGAAGTTGACATGATTGAATTGCTTTCGCGGGCCACATAAAATGATGTGGCGAGCCAGATCTGGCCCCCGGGTCTTGACTTTGACACATGCAATAAGATGTCACTGAATATGTAAGTAGTTCGTGACTGTAATCCCAGCATTGCAGAAAACATTGATATTGACATTTAATGGGCAGAGAGAACACCAATCAATTTAGTCTCTTAGTTTTATTGACTTATTCCTTTCAGTTCGGATTGATATCTAACACACTGACTGAAATGTCCCGGAAAGTTCTTTTCCCACTGAACACTAGTGTCTGCCCAAATCAGTGCATGTCCGACACCTCAAAGCCACGGGATGTGAAGTTTTATGAAGAAAAACTTGAATAAGACATTATGCTGTACAGAAGCCAACTATCTTGAAATTACATTCAAAAAAAACGTAAAACAATAAACGAGTGTTGTGTATAAAGTCAATCAGAGCTTACCTTGATCCACGTCTGTGCGCTTCTGTCCCGCAGTGGCGCTTGTATGTTCCGGGCTGGTTTAAATAATGCCCATCAGCAGTGACGCCCCTCAACCAAAGTATCCTCCTAAAATAACTTGTGACCGAGCCAAGCCCCCTGACCCTTCATCACAGGCTGAGTGAAGCCTTGACCGTCAGCCACACAAATATTTGTTGCGGATTTACAGAGTGACCCCGGAGCCAGGACTCACAGCTGCACGCAGGGTTTTGGGATTACCCACACACAATAAACTGTGGACACTCACCGAGTGCCTGAATATGATCGCCGAGGATGAGCGCGGGTTACCGAACTGCTATTTTAACACCAGAAGCTTCTAATGAATTTAAGCGTATTCATCCAAACCAGATAAATGATATTTTTCAGCCCCCTAGTTGACATTAAAGTTGAATGTGATGCAGCGCCCAAGTTTTATAAAGTGCCCTGGGTGTTTTTTTTTTTTTGGTGGTTGTGAAGAGAAAGGTTGGAGATGACGACAGCCAATTTCAAGAAAAACAGGCAACAGAATGTTTTTTTGAATGAGCACAGGGGCGACCTCCGACATGTTTTGAATACCCCTAAAATGTTGCGGTGCTCAAGAAATCAGATGAGCAGCCGCCACATA